AACCAGAGTTCACTGATGGAGGAGCGTCATGATGTATGTTTGAACGATGGCCGTGCTGAAATGTGTACGCAATATAAGCAGTTTAGTAGATGTAAAAGCTTAGTAGCATGGCGAACCTAAATTCTATCTTGTAAGGATGCATGATCGAGTTCCTTACGCTAAAAATGTGTCTTGTAGAACTAATAAAGTCAACACTGATGTCAAGGACTTACAAAAATATTTATCGTGGGGATTTATTTACCACCACAATCCTCGCACTTCCATTTGTTTCACATGATACTTGAAAGCAGTTGTATTCTTCATGCTAGACAGTGATGTGCATAAATTTGAATCCCTCGAAGATTGAGTTAAAAACACGAAACTGCCAAAGTTATTATGATAGAGTGTAAGCAATAGGCATATGACTAATAAAAATGTATGTTAGACAGAGATGGACCAAGAATATACTAGTTCCAGAAATAATGATAAATTTATTTCGTCCGAAAACTAATTTAACAATATACTAAGTATAATCTACACACAAGGAAAATATGCATGACTCTACTTAAATTGTCAGGAATTAGCGTGTTCGAGTTGCTTTCGGTTTAGTGTTCCACAATTATAAGTAGTTGGTACTTTCAATCGCGATTTTTATAGTTCGAGTTGTATATCCAGACAAATCATATTGTGAAAGTATCACTGTGATTTATAAACGTAGATAGCAAATACACTGGAGCTCTTTTATCATTACAGCAGGTAATTGAGAAGAGGCATATGCGTGCATCAGTGTATTTGTGAGCGATAATCAGTGTGTCGTGCTATGAAGTATCAAAAAGAAATTGGAAAATCCAAGGTAATCCATTTTTAAACAACTATTTTACAGTCACTCATAGTGAATGTACCAATTATGAGAATTAATGAAAGAAGTGCAAATAGAAGCGAAAACTAGTTACAAAATAAATCTGTCCTAACTATCCTAATATATCCTTATTGACGAAACAAGCCTCATGAAAACACCTAGAAACACCATACACATACTCGAAAACCCTGGATTTAGATTTCAGCCAGGCATGCAGGTAATGTATTGTTACATCCAACCTTTGGTAGGCTTGCATACAGACTGAAATACATCGTATGCTAGGGAAGTGTTAAGGGTAGTAAGCGAGATTATCTGGAAGAGTACAGAATGAGATGAAAAGTGGGTGGATGACTGAGTAAGCAAATACTTTCATTAGCAAAAACCATTGATAACATTCAGAAATTGTACAACTGTGAGATCCAGAGAATCTGATAATCTAAACGAAAGATCAATAGCACAAGATTTCGAACGTCTTACAGTGTTAGAATCCATATCAGCCGCCAAACAATGCAAGGCTGAGTCATTGTTGTATATATGAACCACAGACCCCCCGTCCTGGAGACATCGGCAAACCCTTATTATTAAAAACTGAAGTTGGCTGGACAGAAGCTTATTATATTTCATTCATAAACACTGGGAACAAAATGAGTCCTTGTTTTTTTTTTAAAGGACAGTGGTATTTTTCCTCGCTGAGTAAATTTCATTGTTTTGATCGTTTATTACGTATCAAGACTACTGTTTTTCACTTTAATTGAATTTATTTCAGTTAAAGTATTCGACTAAAGTATCGTTTTTACTGTTTTGTCGTTGGTACTCTTTAGTACCACTTTTTCAACTGTATCTGTTAGTACTTTTGGTCCTAGCAATCTACAGCTCTTCACTTTTTTTGGTCATTGATAATTTTTTTGTTTCTGGGTATCATCGCATATTGAAAAAACCCCTCCTAAATGACCGGACAGTGTAAAAAAAGCAGTTGCCAACGTCCGGGTTGTCGTTATCCTGTTGAAAGCGGCATGCAGTGCGACGAGTGCAAAGGCTGGTACCACGAAGTTTGCACGAACTTAACGCCTGCTGCTTTCAAACGGTTCAGTAAGAAGGGTTGTGTGTGGCTTTGTCAACAGTGCTGCTCGGATGCAAACAGCTTGTTAACCGAGGCTATCTCACTGGTTGATGCTGCAAAGAAGTGTTTCAACAAGCATAGTCGGAACGCGTCAAACAGCACTCGATCTGTTGACACGCAAATCAATGTGAAGGAAACTAAGGTGAGTCCGGTGATAGATGACTCACGCCCGTCGAAGAAGGAAAAGCAGTCTCCAAAGGGGTCTGCCTTAAAAAAAAGCTCAAGAAAAGTAGGGTCTTCTGTTCCCCGTCTCCCAGATGGGATCCAACAGGAAACACCTAGGAGCCGCAATCGCAAGGCTCGATCGGTTTCAAATGGTCAACATAACACGACCCCTCAGGTCATCGACAACCCCCCAAAACCCAACACTAGTTTTGACGCAACTGCTATTGCTTCTACCAGCACCGTTGACGAATGGGTACAGGTTGTAAGGAAGAAAAGTATTGATATAAAAGGGAAACCTGCCCCCGTAAAACTGGTTGAAAAATCGAAAGCTGATCATAGCGACAGATCAGCTATTTTTCATAGAATTAAGGAGAGCGATAGCTCTGAACCTAAAGCTCGTTTTGAGCATGATATTGTACTGATTAGGCAGTTGCTTAATCAACTCATGCCTCAGAATATGACTGGGGTCACCTTGCTAAAGGTGTATAGACTAGGGAGTCTAACGGACTCGAAACCAAATCATTCCAGACTGCTTAAAGTAGTATTCGGCTCTTCAAACGAACGTGACCTAATTTTACAAAATGGACACAAATTAAAGGGCTCGGGAGTCTTTATCCGAAAGGACCTACCGTTGGCAGACCGTGTTAAAAGACGGGAAGCCGAGAAAGAACTACAACATAGGTTAGACGCTGGCGAAAAGGACCTGAAAATTGTAAATTTTCGGGTTGTAAGACTTCGACAGAGAATGATGCCGAAGCCACTCTGGGTGAAGCACGAAGGCACCTAAACAGGCTTCGGATCTGTTACACCAATGCACGAAGCTTACTTAATAAGCGATCGGAACTAGGTGTACAGATTGACTCTATAAAGCCAGATATAATCGCAGTAACAGAAACCTGGTTGACACAGGCTATAGATAGTATAGAACTTGATTTCGAGGGCTTTACGTTAGTAAGGGCCGACAGGACACAAAAGCGCAAAGGAGGGGGAGTAGCTCTATTCATTAGGAATGCTATCCCATTTACCATTATCGATAGTGTATCCCATGAGAGTGGGACGTGTGAATTAGTTAGTCTTCGCTTAAAATGCAAGGGACAAGAGCTGCTGATTGGTTTGGTCTATCGCAGTCCAAGCTGTGAGGCAAATGAGATCCTGTTAAGCAGTCTCAATACTTGGTCCCAAAGTGGTCGATGTCTAATCCTAGGGGACTTTAATGCACCAATGGTAGACTGGGAAAATCTGCGAACTGAATCGTCAGAAAATTCCTTCGAGCAGGAACTAGTTGATACGGTTATCACATGTGCCCTAGTGCAACATGTGAAAGAAGCGACTAGGTACGACCCGGACACTGAATCATCCTTATTAGATCTTATACTGACTCACTATGAGGATGATGTTGCGAACCTCCACCATATGCCACCCTTAGGTAAAAGTGACCACGCAGTTTTAACTTTCGACTTCCATATAACTGCCAGTCATGAGGACGCGTCAGTCCAGTCCAGACCCAACGTCTGGAAAGCAAACATACCAGACATCATGCACTCAGCATCGTTAATAGATTGGACAATAGACCCAGAGTCCTCCATTGAAACGGCCTGGGACACATTTCGAAAATCATACTTAAAAGTTACCACACCTCACATCCCTTGGACTATACCAAAGGGGCCGAAAAACTCACCACCATGGTTCAGTAGGGAGGTCCGTATCCTTCTCCGTAAGAAAAGGAAAACGTGGGATAGATTTAGGTCACTGGGGACTGATGAGTCAAAATCTCAGTATCGAAAGGCTCGGAACACTTGTGCCTCGACCCTCCGTAAGTCTAGAAAATTGTACGAAGAAAAACTTGTTAAGGAATCCATAGAATGTCCTAAACGCTTGTATTCCTATATAAACCAAAGGACAAGGAGAAAAGGAAATATTCCTGCTCTATGGGGAGACAGTACTGCTTCATCATTAGTGGAGGACGACTTTGGTAAGGCTCAAGCGTTCTCGAACTACTTTAGCAACGTGTATACCATAGAAGCGCCCTTCTCGTCAGCGTATACAGATCCCCCCATACATACACTGGGTAGCGTGACCATTAAAGAACTCGATGTCTTTGGTCTGCTAAATAAGCTTGACATAGGTAAATCCACGGGGCCCGATGAATTACATCCTAGGCTACTGAAGGAATTATCTAACTTCGTTGCGAACCCTTTAAGTACATGCTTTAACCTATCCGTTACGAAGGGTCGCTTACCGAAAGATTGGAAAAACGCCATAGTAAGTCCTGTCTTCAAAACAGGCACGAAATACAAACCTGAGAACTACCGCCCCGTTAGCCTAACTAGTGTGGTTGTTAAAATATTAGAAAAGATTATTCGGAAGGAGCTGTTTAAGTATCTCGATAAAAACCGGATCCTCTCGGAGAAGCAGCATGGCTTCAGAATAGGTTATTCTTGTCTCACTAACTTATTAGTGGCTCGTGAAAGCTGGTGTGCTCTTAAGGACCAAAAGCTACCTGTAGACGTCGCCTTCATTGATTTCAGTAAAGCTTTTGATAAAGTTCCGCACAACCGGCTGTTATATAAGTTAAGACATGTCGGGATTGGAGGTAATTTATTGATGTGGATAAAAGACTTCTTAGTTGGGCGTCAACAAAGAGTAAGGGTGAACTCAAAGTTATCTAGCTGGGAAACTGTGCTTAGTGGAGTGCCCCAGGGTACAGTTTTGGGGCCAGTGCTATTCCTCTTGTATGTAAATGACCTTCCTTGTCTCCTATCATCATCGGTCTTGCTATATGCTGACGATGTCAAGATATGGAGAACGATACGATGTAAGAGTGATGGCTTAGAACTTCAAAATGACTTGAAGAAGTTATCTGAATGGTCTCAAACATGGCAGTTGCCGATAAATACTTCCAAGTGTGTTGTGATGCATATCGGTCATCAAGGCACAGATACATACACGATGAATAACACTGAGCTACCTGTCGTCCAGACATATAATGACTTAGGAGTTATCGTTAGTCAAGACTTAAAGACTACTGCACACTGCCGTGCAATAGCCGCCAAAAGTTTTAGAACGTTATGGTCAATACGTAGGGCTTTTAGTCATGTCGACACTAAGACGTTTTTGACTTTGTATACAGTGTTCGTTCGTCCTAAACTTGAGTACTGCATACAAGCGGCTAGCCCCTGCTTTAAAAAAGACAGAGAGCTTCTGGAAAAGGTTCAGAGAATGGCGACTAAGCTGGTTCCCGCAATAGCGAAGCTTCCGTATGAATCTCGACTGGCCAAGCTGAACCTTTTCCCGTTGTCATATCGCAGAACTAGAGGCGACTTGATTACAGTCTACAAATTGCTTAGTGATAAATTTGCACCTGATATGCCCTCATTTTTCTTGTCTTCCAAAACAGAGAATTTACGAGGACACTCCAAAAAAGTTCATAAGCCGAGAACAAATTACTTGTCAGCTGACTATCGACTTTCCCATCGAATCATCAACGAGTGGAATTCACTACCTCAGCACGTGGTTGAAGCTCCATCCGTCGACTCTTTCAAAAGAAAGTTGGATCAACTGAGAGACCACCATTGCCAGGACTAACATAGGCCATCGAGCCTCCTGTCCTTCCCAAACTGAAACTGAAACTGATTGTTGTTTACTGGCATCACCTGAAGGTCGTGGGTAGGACCTTTGTCGCTAATCTCAATAGTAATCACATGGTGAGTTTGTATAATACCATATGACCTATTGTTTAGCCTCAAAACGAGCATATTGAGCTTCATCGCAAACGCCATGGGTATCGCTTTGACTATTTTGAAAGAAAGTCAGTTTTTGTCTACCTGGTTTATCATGTTTCAGGCGGAAAAAGGAGGCTCGTGAACCTCATGAAAGAAGTCGTAAGGCCAAAAAGCTTCGAGGACTAAAGGCAAAAATTGCCAATAAAGAAAGGTTTAAAGAAAAAGTTCAAATGAAAAAGACGTGAGACTTTAAGCCGAAGTTTTAACTTTCCTAGTTTACGTATGCACGAGTTAAAAGGAAAAAATCAAAAAGTCGATGAAGCTGGGCGATCTGGAGAAGTACCTGCATATCTTTTAGATCGTGGTGAACAGATCTCTGCCAAAGTGTTATCCAACACAGTTAAGCAGAAAAAAGCTGAGAAAGCGGTAAGAATAAAAAACTCCGTTCCATTATTTGCTACTCATTTTTAATCAATTTAAACATATAGTTTATGACAAATGTCAAGGGTTTGCATTGTTTTTGCAGTTGTCTAGTCCAAATATAACACTAGGCAGCCTCTGTTGTAAGTTCTATCACATCAAATAGTTTGTACTTCGGTTACTTATAGTATTACCACATCATCTTTCGTTGAAATTACTGAAAGACTGAACCGTTTAGGTTGGAGATGAGTAGGATGATTTGTAATCGATCATAATAACACAGACGCACCTAATATTTGTTCTTCCTTATGTCGTCGGTCTTTTATTCAACTAATTAATTATTGAATCATACTGTATGTACCTAGTCTTTACTTGGATCGATGTACATACGTATCAGGTCCTACGTTGTAACTGACCAACTGTGAGAATGAATATTTACTGTCAATGATATTTCTGCACAGTCTCATCTCTTTGTGTTGATGTGGTCCAGAAGCTTTGATCGATCAACAAACCCCGCCAAGGGGCTTCATGGTTAGGGTGTTCAACTTTCACCCACTAAGCCCCGGGTTCGAGCCCCGTCCGTTTATTTCGGTAGCATCATTAACTCTCGTAGCTAAAGTGTGGCCTGTAGACAAGTAATTGCAGAATGGGTATATTCCGTAATAATTCAGTTTCATCAATTTTTTGTTCTACTGGTTCGAAATCTACGGTAGATTTATTTTTAGTATCTACCATCAAAAATTATTAAGCATTCCTAATACTTTCGGCTGTGTAATCATTGTCTTGTTGATTTCATGATGCAAACTTATTTCCTGGTCATCACCATGCTATTATATTTAAATTATGCTGTATCCGGTCTGTTATTCATTACTAAGATTTATGTTTGTTTGAACATAAACATTAGTGCAAGGAGACACCAAATACATATGCGCCACTCAATAACAACGGGTTTGTGAAGGGACAATGTAAAGTGTGTATAATAAAAAAGAATAATGAACAGAAATTAGTTTATCAGTAAAATAATAACACGGAAAAACGGTTCAGTTAAGAAAAATACAACGAAAGAATTCTTTCAGTTACGTTTACTTTCGTGATGAAGATAAAAGAAATTTACATCAGGATCGACACTGGCTTCTATTTTGAGCCACGTCTGATAACGTCTCTAGCCACTATGTTGTACCATCTCTAGGACCCCAATCAAGGAGTCATGAAGGACCAACACAAGTCATTCCCGTACAGCTTCCTTTCATACCACGACACCGTGTCATGCACTGACTACCTCTCCGCTTTTCACAACCGGTCCCAGAGTCGGCAAGCAATTCACGACGTGGAATTTTCCGGCACGACATTCGTAGTACATGTCCAAACCACCATAGTCGATTTTTCAAGATAGTGACACCAATTGAATTATCGTCGCCGTGCTTAGACACACTATTCCGAACCTCTGCATTACTAACATGGTGTTACCACTGCATGTCAACGATCCTTCAGAGACAGCGATGATCAAACACAGAGTCGTCCAATATCCTTAACTCTGAAAAGCCAGGTGTCACAAATATAGAGCAAAGCTACTCTCACCAACGCGTTGTAGTCCCCGACCTTTAACAGTCAGGCTAACATCACAAAGGCGTCAAAATGTCTCAGATTGGCATAAACCGCTCTGGCTTCCACTATATGTGAGTTGACCTGATCTCACATCATCACCAGCACTTAGGTAGCTACCTAGATACTGGAACTTCTCTACTGCTCCTATCTGTTCACTACCCAGGATAAGTGCACGTTCAGGGTCCAACCAGTCTTGTAGAAGTACTTTGAACTTGAAAGGTGCCAAGCACATGGCATACCTATAGACAGTTTGTCAACTGATTAAGTGCAGATTGTATGTCATGGATATAACCCAAGGTCAGAACGTCATTAATCGTCACTCACAAATTGCACTACTGGTTAGTGCTACTACTAATTTTACACAGCTTTTTACTCCAATAACCAGAGGTGCCTTTTTGTCGTAGCTAATATACAATCTTTGGGACTTTGAAGATTTCCATAAAATATAGCTTTTAGTGTTTCAGCTGAGTTGTACTCATTTATAGCTGTGCTTAACTTTCTCTGTAAATAGTATCTAAGGATATTTCGATAGACATTTTATTCGATCTATCAAAACCAGACCTTTATTCAGTTTGTCATCGCATATGTTGGTGATCTTTTTGTTAGTCCTTTGACAGTGGATGGAATAAATAATTCATCAAATAGTCAGTTTTTTTCCTGATTTAGTTTCGCTTTGCTTAAGTTACCACTAAGTACAACATTATAAGATATATGAAGATATTTACTGCGTAATAGAAAGTCTCTCACATTCAGTCTAAATTGTCTTAGTGAGTATAGGCTGCAGTAATTTCATGTTCTTAGTAATTAGGACGCCATGCTGTTATTTCATTTATCAGGCAGAGCTTAGTTTCTGCCAAATACACTTTGTATATCAATTTACCCTCTTACATGATTTCATTTTCACGGTTGATGAACTAAATCTCTGCACGTTGTTCTTGACTTTTCTGATATATAGAATGGATTGACCTGTCTCATTGATATCAAGTAGAAATAATGTCTGATATAATATATAAGCGTTGTTGGCGGCTTATGCTCCATTAGGAGTAACAGGTGTAAGTAAGTAATAATATATAAGAATTAGGTCTCAGAATCCAATCTTTTTCACTGGGGAGTAAGTGACCTACAAAACCGAAATCTCCCAGTCATGTAGGACATCCGATTACTTTCATTTGATGTTGATGTTTTTTATATAAGCATGCTAACTTACTAGCTAAAAAGACTTCTGGCTAGTGGTCTTGTCTTCGGTAATAGTGCATTCAGGAGTTTCTCATGAATAGTTATCACTCGACCTCACTGTAGCTGACTGACTGACTGACATCCATCCATTTTGTAATCTCTAAACGCTCTTCGTCAGAAATAATCGGACTCCTTCTGCATGACATCGTTTATTTATGGCTACCTAAAAATCAGCTGTTTCGTCCAGCTGGTTTATCTTCTGTTGAACATTTTAATACATGTGTTTATGCTTCCTAGATCCTTCAGTTCACCTTAAATATAAAGTTTATGTAATTTCTGGCTGAATTCAAGTACGTATTCGAACCATCCTAATTCCGATAATAATTATAGGCAGTAAAAAAGTATAAGCTCAGAAGATTAATATTTTGTTTTCATGTCACTGATTAGTATATTTATGTCAACTTTCCGTAGTCACGCTCAAAATATGACCTGTTTCAGTGGTCGTGCTAGAAAAAATATTTGTCTTGTTTTTGTATCACTCAACACTTTGATCTGTGATAGTTACATCTATCTGGATACATACTTTCTGTGCTTAAATTCCTCTTATAATCAGGGAAAATGGGAGGTGCCATTACCAAAAGTAAGAAGCGTATCTGAAGCAGAGGCATTTAAAGTTGTACGAACTGGAAAGTCTAAACGTAAAGCATGGAAGCGTTTAGTCACTAAAATGTGCTTTGTTGGCGATACATTCACAAGAAAACCTCCTAAATTTGAACGTTTTATTCGTCCGATGGGTTTACGTGTAAAGAAAGCAAACGTTACTCATCCAGAACTTAAAACTACTTTCCAGCTTCCTATAATTGGAGTGAAGAAAAATCCAAGTTCACCAATGTATACTACTTTAGGTGTAATAACTAAAGGTACAATTATTGAGGTATGTTCTTTCATTTGGTATTTATTCAATGGTTGGTTGTTATAATTCATTTCTGAGTGTACTTCTTACTAGTGATGAAGTCTGTGGTTTACACTTCGATCATTCTGTTTCTCACTAGTTAATTGCGTTTACACCAAAACACATTTTAAATAAAACTTAAAACACTATGAAAGCTATATTTTATTAAATAAGCATTACTACCTACTATAGTTATTTCATTGGAGCGAAGCGATTAACTTCTGTGTATCTTTTAAACTTTATCATGCATGTGACCACTGAGTTGTTTAATTATCGATATTCGCACTGGGAGATTCGACGTTTAAAATGATATTTTAGTTCTCGAAACCAGGTAGACATCTAAAGATCAAATGTTCGTTTGTGTTAGTTCCTAATTTGCACTACAAAAATCCTCACTGTCCTCAAGTAACTAACGGCATTGAGATTCAGCCAACAACAAATTAAAAAGTCTAAGACAGGTTTTAAGTGATAGTGAAAGCTTAGCATAAATTCATAACTTCATATTCGATCATGTTCGCACTATGTTTTTTCGTAACTTCACCAATAAAAGAGCTAGTTATTCTGTGGGTCACGCTTATTATTCAAATAATGATTGTAATATAGGACTGTTCAATCAATGTGTTGAGTTTTCAGTGGTTAGTCAGTTAGAAAAATACCTTCATAAACTAACATACGGAGTGATAAATTATCATTTTGAAGGAAATCACTTGTTTTACCATCATGGTTATGCATCCATAATTGTCTAGTTTGTTCACAATTTCAGATATAATGGGAATTCTTTATTGTATTGTCTAGTTTCATCCTTCTGACACATATCCTCCTAAACCAATGTACAAACAAATTGTTCATGATATATTGGTTTAATATACCACATTATTCTATAAAAAACTCTCAGTGCATTATCTGGAGATGATCGAATCATGAAAATATGTCCTTTGTGAATATGATATTCGTCACAGATTGACTTCATTTTTATACCTTAATATAGGACTGCAATAGTGTGAACCAATAATCCTTCCAGAGATTTAGTGGCTAAACACTTACTCAGTAACCTAAAGGTTTTGAATTTGATCCCTTAGACTGGTTTTAGGTGCAGTTCAACAGTAGCACGAAACATTTTTCCAGTCCTCCTTGATTCCTAATAGTACATATATGTGATGGTTACCACCTTTAAATTAACGTTATCACTAAAAAACTTATCCTAAACTTCCGTTTGTCGTGACGTACCAGCTAACCTCATATGTGGTCCCCAATGTAACTAAACCCATATCATACATGCTCTACTATAGGCGCTCTTTTAAAGGTCATTTTTATTTGTCCGTAGTGACATCTTGAAGTTTTAATAGGAGTTTGTAATCAAACAGCTTAACGTAGTTAGTGGCAATTCTGATGAACTATCACGCTAAATGATAATCGCACCGTGTCATAAATTGACTGAATTTGAAAAATGAAAATCGTTGAATCCTAACTCATTGGCTAAATGACATAGTTGCTACGATTTTTTGGTTGGATATATAGAACACGACAATAAACAGAATAATTATTTATTAAGAGAAATTATAAAGGGTTTACTTATGCACAGCCTTTTATCATCCATTCTCATTTCGCGGTGAGTTCTGCCATACAAACTGTCTTGTCGTCTGGTCATCAGATGTTGTACCTACTCTGTGCTTCCGATGCACCAGATTTATTCACTCCATCTGGCTGTGACAACTTCAAGATCACGTTCTGCAACACTACTTACAAGCAATCTGGTGAGTACCGTCCACTACAGATTTCCTATGGCATCATAATGCTCATTCAGAGTTCTCACTGAAATGGAACAGTTTTTCTATGGTTATTAGTTCTCCAACTAATGAAAGTTCGTGATGAAAACTATCTTTTAAATGGCAGATTACGGTTGGTTTTTATAATAAAGTCACATGGAGGTTATGGTAAACGAAAAATCCGAACGCACTTTAGTCAAAGGCTTTGAGATAAAAATTATGTTTTTTAAAGTTGGTGGAAATGTTACTGTGTAATCAATTCATAAAAAAAGTTTGCTATAATATATCAAGTAAACGATGTTTATTAGGTCTAAGTAATAAATTAGCGCAATATTTTCTGAAAATTCTGACGACGCACGTACAAAAAGTAATGTTTTGTAAAATATTTAAGAATAAATGTTTTTCAGTAGTAAATTGTAGTCGGTAAGAATTACTTACATAATTATTTTTTCACTGATTAGGTTAATAATTGTTGATATCTGCGTTCAGCAGCGAATGACGTCATTTTTTCCTTTTTTACTTATGTAGGTGAACGTCAGCGATCTTGGTTTGGTCACGCCGAGTGGTAAAGTTGTCTGGGGTAAATACGCTCAAGTAACTAATAATCCTGAAAACGAAGGTTGTGTAAATGCAGTTCTTATTGTATAGACAGAAACTAATTTATTCTAAAGTCTTTTGTTCAGTATCTAATAGTTCTACAGCTTGTATATCTGGTTTTCAGTTCGTTGCAACGAAAAAGATTTTAGACTAATTTTCCTCCTCAATTTTTTTCAGGTAATAGGTATAATTTAGCACAACTGGTCCTGTTTGACTATCTCAAACAGACTGAGTTTCGTCTGTAGTTCCAGTAAATCAGCTAGTCAGTAACAACGTAGAACCTCGTACGTATTTTTATCCGTTCAAGCTGTCATACCCCGTTAGGATAGAGATCGAATTGTCAGGCCAAATCCCAGAATGGTAGAGATATTAACAGTTTCAGTGGTGATAGGAAATATTAAGCATCGAAGATACGGTTCAAGAAAATGTAAGTTAGTGCAATAAAGGTTATAAAAAATCTGGAATCTCAGGATCCGGGTGAAGACAATAGTTGGGTGTACCTGCGCCACTGCAAGCGATTTCGAGCAATGTCATTCACAGTCCTTTATCTAAAGTTATGATGATCACGCAGACCCAACTAGGTAGTTCACATCCATTCACATGGTTAAGTCTAATTGTCAGTGACTTCATGGACAGGTGCCATGTTTTGGTTTGACCACCCCTAACTTTATTCCAAACTGCACCTGAAAGTACCGTTTGTCGAAGTAATCAGTGTCTGTACATACGTAACACAAGTACCTCACTCCGTGGTCCCGAAATACACGCGATATGCTTTGTAGACACATGATCGGGTACCAGTAACCTACAAATATCCTCCAATTTTAGTGTCAGTCAACTACAACGTAGGCTCAGACACAAATGCGTCTGTCTAAGTTAACACATCTCATTAGCACAATAAGAAGATGGAGATCATCACCCGGAAATTCAGTCGACGAAAACGTTATTTCCAGCAGTAGATCTATGATTAAATTCAACGAAAATCTAGATAGTGGACATACTTGCCAGACCCCACTTGAGGTTGCAAAATCAGATGACAGTTCGTCCTTTACAGGTTCCTCAAGAAATACCCTTCCATGGTGTGGGCAGCCGGGATGTGACCTCATACTCGTAACAGCACACGAGACTAAGTCGGTCACATTCAAATTGTAAGTCACCAGCGTAGATTATCTATGTCGAATGATTGGGGGCCTACTCGAGATAGACGGAAATGGTGTGACGAACTAGCTAATGTCGAAGTCACGCCTCGCGGTAAGCACCTTACGTGGATTACCCCATCGAAGTACTACAGATGCTTTGAAGACTATACAACATAAAGGATGTTATATTTATTTATTATTTTATTTATTTATTTGAACACATAAATATTGGTACAAGAGAGCGCCAATATATATGCGCCACACAAAACAATGGGAATTCGAAGAAAAGTAGAAAGAGAAAAAAAAACAAAGGAACGCAAAAGAAAAAGAGAACAATGACGAAGAGATTGGAGTAAGGTAGTGTGGTAGTAACAACGGAACGACAAGGTACAATCAGAAGAAATCTTTCAGGTAAAGGAGACACAACCACTTTTTATAAAGAAAGTAAAAGAAGGTTACAGCAGGATCGCCACTGGCTTCTATTCTGAGCCATATCTGATAACGTCTCTAGCCACTGTGTAGCACCATCTCTCGGACCCCAACCAGAGAGTCGTGAAGGACCAACACAAGCCAGTCCTTTGCAGCTTTCTTTCATGCCACGACACCATGTCATGCACTGACCACCTCTCCGCTTCTTCCAACCAGTCCCAGAGTCGGCAAATAATGCACGACGTGGAATTCTCTGGGACGACATTCGTAGAACATGTCCAAGCCACCGAAGTCGGTGTTTCAAGATGGTAACACCAATTGAGTTATCGTCTATGCTCCCGAACACACGATCATGAACCTCTGCATTACTGATATGGTGTTGCCACTGAATGTCAGCAATCCTTCGGAGACAGTGATGATCGAACACAGAGAGTCGTCTAACGTCCTCAACTCGGAGAGGCCAGGTTTCACAAGCATAGAGCAAAACTGCTCTCACCGACGCGTTGTAGATCCGACCTTTTACAGACAGACTAACATCACGAAGGCGCTAAAGATGGCCCAGATTGGCATAAGCCGCTCTGGCTTTCACTATTCGTGCATTGATCTCATCACTCACACCCCCACCAGCACTTATGCAGCTACCCAGATACACGAACTTCTCGACTACGTCTATCTGCTCACCATCCAGGGTGAGTACAGGATTGGAATCCTGCCAGTTTTGTAGAAGTACTTTGCACTTCGAAGGTTCGAAGCATATACCATACCTACAGACACTGATTGCCAACTGATTAAGTGTGGATTACATGGCTTGGGCATTATCGCACAGTAAGACAATATCGTCCGCATACTCAAGGTCGAGAAGTCTTTCTCCAGGCAACAGATCCACACCACCATTACTTACATTCATCAGAGCTGTTTCCAGAATGTCATCGATGGCAAAGTTGAAGAGGAATGGTGAGATTGGGCAACCCTGCCTAACCCCACTGCTCGAATGGAACAATGGAGAAAGGTGGTTGTATGCCCTCACTCTGCCTGAGGTGTTTTTATATAGGGCTTTTAGGATGTTAATAAACTTCTCAGGCACACCCTTCTTCAATAGACAATCCCAGAGAACAGTCCTATCCAACGAATCGAAGGCAGCCCTGATGTCAAGAAACACTACGATTGTTGGCCTTTGAAAAGTATGACGGTGTTCTAACATTTGGCGGAGGGTGAAGATATGATCAATACATCCTCGACCAGAACGAAACCCAGCCTGCTCCTCACGAGTCAATCTTTCTCGGGTTTTGAACAACCTACGAAGTATGACGGAAGCCAATAGTTTGGACGCAATCGGAAGTAGACTTATCCCTCGATAGTTGTTACAGGAACGACGTGAACCCTTTTTAAAGATAGGGACAACTATCGACTCATTCCATGATATTGGTACACTCTCTAGTTCCCAAACCTTTGTAAACAACGTCGTCAATTCCTTAGTCAAAAAGTCACCACCATCTTTAAAAAGAGCCGGAGGTAAGTCATCTGGGCCAGGTGATTTGTAACGCTTCAAGAGTTGGAGTTCCTTGCGGACTTCCGCCTCATTTGGCGGATCATTCGTCACCGGCCATGGAGGGCAGGACAGTCTGACCGATGTTACCGGAGCAGCAGGCCAGTTGAACTGCCCTTCGAAAAATTCTGCCCATCGTCCAAGACGTCGATGGATGTTAGTGATTGGCATCCCATCATCCTCGCAGATTGTTTCACTCACACCAGACTTCTTGCTGCCAGTGGCTCGGATGAGCTGGAAGAGCTTCCGGTAGTTACCAGATGCAGCTGCTGCTTCCAGCTCATTAGCACGCATCGACCACCAGGCTTCTCGGTCCTTACGCAAGCTTTGCCCGATTTCCTTACGTAACATCTTTCGTTTATGGTCAAACTCACGGTCACCCGGAGTAGATCGACGGGCTTCAATGAGTTGTAAGGAACCAGAAGAAACCCAGTGCTTAAAAGCGGGACGTTTCGCGAACCCACAACTGACTGTTCCCGCCATTTTCATGGCGTCACGCTATTGCAACCAATGCTCATCCATACTTTTCGGTGGAGTGGTAGCTAGCCTAGAGGCTAACTCGGTTCGATACTTACTTGCAACAGAAGTTGCAACCAGCTTGCTAACATCAATCCGTTGATGGCGTTCACTTCGTTGTCCACTGAAAAGTAAGGCAAGATTGGCGCAGACCAAGGCATGATCAGTGTCCAGATAGGTACTCCAAAAGGAGCGGCAGTCTTGTACACAACCACGCCAGCGGTAGCTGATCGCGATGTGATCAATCTGAGTCCAGGCTTGAGATGCAGAGGGAGGACGCCAGGTGGCACATCGGCGATGACTGTGCCGAAAGTTAGTGCTAGCCAGAAACAGGTTGTGGTCTGCGCAAAGTTGCAGTAGACGGTCCCCGTTATCTGACCTGCGACCAACGAGTCCCCATCGGCCACCTAAACGACTCTCTTCTGTGCCTAGACGCCCGACCTGAGCATTCAAGTCTCCGGCTAGTACTACAATATCTGTCGAACGCACTTTCTGGAGAAGAACTGATAACTGGTGGTAAAACTCATCCTTGATTGCATCCCGGCTGCAATCTGTCGGGGCATAGGCGGAGATGACGAAAAGACATCGTTTCTCACGCCGATTTCTTCTCACTTTGATGGAACTTCCTAATCTAACAGCACATAACCGACTGTTAATGGGGATCCAATCGACTAGTGCTGCCTCAGCTCTAGCGCTTAGTGCGACACCAACGCCAGCAAGACCAGACGAAGATGCCACAGGGTCCCCGGATAAGCGCACGTAAAACAAGCTTTCCGAAGCGACAGATGGAGATCGAATTTGTAGTACTTCACCAGAGTCTTGAATACAGGTCTCGGATAGACAGCAGACATCGATATGAAGACTTTCCAAAGACATAGCCAGCCCTATCTGTTGTCCAACCTGCATAAGTGTGCGAACGTTGAAGGCAGCCAGTTTGAATGGTGCACGTGGTTTCAGAAAATCTGCTTCAGTCCTCGTATTCGGTGGTAACATACAATTTTCAACCGGACAGTGACTCGAGAACGTTTAGATACAGTCGGATTTCCACCAAAGACGAGCCGCTGTATAGGTATAAAAGAGGGTGAATAATGTGGAAAATAATAATAATAATGATAATAATAACAATAATGACAATAATAGTAGTAATAATAATATTAGTATTAATAATGACAATAATTGTAATGATAATAATCTGAATCAATTGTTTGTTTTTCAAAGCGAGAAAGGTAATTTCCATAGGCATAAAGAGTTCATCAATTTGTGTGTGGGCTGTGATACTGCCCGGGTGCCCAAACCGAAGCAGGTGGTTATCTTAGGGGGCCACTCCCCGAGCCTTTGACCTAAAGGTCTAACCCACAAGGCAGTGGAGCATCGTAAGGAGATGCAGTCCCATGGTAGCCGGTGACCAACGATTGGTTCATACGCCATTCGTTCCCGCAGGATACTGGAGCCCATGTGCATCATTGATTTGGAAACCGGTTAAAGCGCCGGACATTCGCTTTTCGTCCTCTCATTTTCGTAGACAAC